AGAAAATGTAATATTTGCAGCATAAAGATTATTTTAAAAAGATTGCTTCAACCAATCAAGGAGAGACAGAGTTTATTCCACAGTTTAACTTTGTCTCAAAAAAACAAGAAAGCCCAGGAAAAATGTTTAAATTGCAATAGTCCAGTAGATTTGCAGTGATCGCAATACCTAGGCATTTAAAGGAAGATAGAATTTGTACTGGGAAAAACGTTGGCAAGGCTGGGTCAGTAATGCCATCCATCAGTTCACCAGATTGCTTAGTAAGGGTCAAATTCCCCAACTGCCAGTGGAATGTATTTTGTGATTTTTTTTTAATGCATTGCTAGCCATAGCACCTGTATTTCTTCATTTGCCGCTGAAGATGCTGGTGCTATAAAAGTTAATAATATTAATGATAGTCTCTCAGGTCTCACTAATCAGTTTTACATCCCCTTTATTCCAGAATAAGTGTTGCTTCATAACATTATTTAATCAAAATAAGTAAAATATACCTATATGTGTCACTTTCATTTCATTCAGTTTTAGTTTGATTCTTTTTTTTTTTGGAAACTGTCTTTCAAGTATCAGTTCAAGGTCACTCTGTGGTAGTTTTATTTCTTCATCAAATATTTTTAATTCCTTGATTCTCACTTACATTAAGTATATCATCAAATTTAATAGTCATTCATTTCAATATTCTTGCTGTTTTAATAAATTATGGTTAGAAAATGGATATAGACTTTTTATAATATTTAGTTATGGAATAATGAGTCCTTTCTGATTTGGTTGTTATACAGAAAAAGCTACACAGTGTCAAGATTTTGGGGTACTAAGTAACCCAATTCCTGGCATATATCTGGTTGTTAACTTCTGCTATATCAATACATTTAGCTTTTATAGGGCTAGAAATGGAACCCTAGAACAGTAACCATCATGAACTAGACTTTGGGGAATCCTGCACTGGGCCTGTCACAAGGAGGGTTTTTACAGAAATATTGTACTTACTGGTAGTGCATCAGGCTGTTAAAAACTGAAAGATGTGCTTACCCTTTTTGGGAGCAATTTTTAGAGTTTATACCAAGTTACCAAAGTTTCCTCTAATGTCTCTCAAGCCTACATGAGCAAAATGCTGGTTCTCAACTAGTGGCACATATACCCCCAGGGGAAATTCTGATGGCCTCATTGGTTAGTTCTGCTTCATCTAGTAAGTTCATTCTAACAGTAGTTTTAGCAAATAATGACTCACACATAAAATACTTAATTGTAACGTAGTTCTACTCCTGTAGGAGCCACTGTAATACTGTCCAGGTGTTCCCTCTTTTTATTTTGCAGCCAGGCACAAGTTAGTTTCACAGCCAGGTACACACAAACTTTTGCTCTTTGTCTTCAATGATGAGTCTAGAGGTTGTTTTTTTCAGTTTTATTGTAGGATAACTTGGATAGGGAGAAGGGAATTTAGTAGGTTACTCCAAGAATAGAACTAGTTACAGGCGAGGACAGAGGCGAGGCAAGGACTTTCTTAAATAGCAGCCTTCAGCAAAATTCCAATGTCAGAAAGGGGTTTACCAGACAGTGCTCTTCAAGACACCAGCCTGTGTTCCCTTTCTCAGACCCACACTAACTATACAGCACCAGAGGGTTAGCAAAGCACACAGAGTCTCCAAGTTCTCCCACCGTGTCTGTACTCACAAGGCCCATGGACAGAATGGTAGTCTCATTCCAATCTTTCAAGTGATGCCTTTCAGTAATACCAGACATATCTCTGGCAGACATCTCCCCTCAGTCAGCTTTCTGAAGAACCAGGGTCACTCTCTCCCTCTTGCTTCAGGCCCTCAAGTCACTTATCTGAGGCCGCATGGCAACAGGTGCCTTCCCCCAGGCTGGTACAATCCTCTCCAGGAAAGAGCCAGAGCTCAGTGTGCCCAAAGAATAAATACCCTCTCCCAGCATCTTTCAGGGCTACAGTATATGGCATTTGCTGGATCGGCATTAATATTCATTGTTCTGCATGAGTTCCACCTATACATCCAGAACCTTCCTAGGTTACTTGGATACAGAGGAAGCCAGTGGCAGAAATAGCAGCACTTGAAGACACTGAGCAGGCATTACTAAACAGTTGCAGCTCTATGTTAAGCAGAAAGCCCAATTAGATTTTCCTAATAGTTCTCCTGTTAAGCAGAGGATACAACTGTAATCTACTTATCCTAGCACCTATCTAGGAGGGTGCTACACTAAAAATTGTAATAAAAATATAAATTGTATAGTAAAAAAAATACAACACAAATACCATAAAAGTGTACAGAAACTATTTATACTCAATTAAGGGTACCAATAATAAGCGTACCTATGTAAATGGGTTGTTTAAATAAGACGTCTCACACGAACGGTGCTTAGAAAATTGGATAAAGATAGGCTCTCATAAAGTGTTACATACTTTAAAGAATAAGTGCATATTAAAACAAAGAGCACTTATTGTGATAATTGTGCGCACAGATATAGACGCGGACAACAATTTTGCTAAGATCCACCATCTTGTATCATACTCTGCAAATATCATTCTCTCTCCCTCCAGCCCCCCTCCCATTGCAGGAATGTGGTCTGTGTGTGTGCTGAGTTCAGGAGTGCACAGGGCACAGCTGGATATGCTTCATGGTTGTAAACCCAATTAGCTGGTCCACATGATGTCTGTCAGACCCTTGCCTTGGCCTGGTCATAAAGCTATAAATCCGTCAGTCACTGGACATGAAAAGCATTCAGTAGTGGCAGTAAAATGTACATTCCACTGGAATCACTTTTTCATACAAATTCATAAATCCTGACAAGAACAAGGTACAATAAAACAAAGCATATATTCAGATAGGTCATTTTAATACAAGTCACCTGATACCTTACACCCCTAGATAATGTCTACCAAAGAGTAGAAAGCAATATCTCTTTATCCGTCACATCCAGATATGTCATATTTGATGTCTGGACTTTCAGAATATGGTTCTGCATATTAACCTGCCAGTGGCTAGGGCTGCTGCATGCACCTATGGAAGGTTATTGACCATGGTATAAACTTGCGAGGGATTTGGGTCACTGCCTGGGTCTCCGCCTAACACCCCTCCCCAAATGAGGCGATTGGCCCTTGGCTTCAGTAGACACCCCCTGCTGGGACACTAGAAAACAGGCTGTCATGCCTGGAGAGAGAGATGAAGAGATTCTCCCTTTCAACATCAGGAACCAGCTTTGGGAGAAAAGGAACCCTTCTGTTCAGGACACTTGAACTCTGCTTAAACCCAGGACTTCTGCAAGTATTCTACCTTCTTAAACTTCTATCTGTTATCTCTCTGTTGTGTTATTGCTCTCTCTATTTTATATATATACATTGGTTACATCTTTTCTGTAAATATTTTTATTGCACCATTTTGACCCTTTTTAGTAATAAATTCTATTTTCTGAAAAGTGTTGAACTGTTTCTAAAGCTCTTTAATGCAAACTAAGAACCTCTGTTTCTGAAGAGTGCTACTGTGTGTTTTAAAACCTCTGGATACATCTGTCTGCGGTGACAGTGTGTATACAGACGCTTATTCAAATATCATAGTGTTACTGCTAAGATTTGTAAATTTCCTCCTTCTCTGTAAAAAGGTGGTGGTGGCAGTGTGAAGGGTTAATTGCGTAATTAACCTGACCCAGTAACAATCGCTCTCAGGCTGCTGGCACATAGATTGTGGTCCAGTGAGCTGGAAAATCTTTGTGCAGGGTGCAGCTGAGCGTGGCATTGTTACGCAAGTGGCAGCGCGGTTTTAGATTGGCTAGTCCTTCGGTCACAAGTTGGTAAGAAGGGCTGGGGTTTGACGCCACGCCCATCACACTTATATTTCTCCCTTCCTACCGTGACCTAACCTAACAGATCTAGGTAAGTAAGCATCTGTGGAGGCAGAGGGAGGGTTAGATTAGGTCAGAGGAAGGATAAAAAAGGAAATATTACCTTTGCTTTACAATACACTCATCCTTTAAAGCTGAACTCCCAAGAACATTAAAAATGTGGGGCTCCCCTCGCACTGTACAGATTTAATGTTATTTTTTCTAGAGGAAAAAAAGCAACTATATTTACCTTTAGTGATGCCAAATATTCTGCCCAGGTTCAAATCTTTAAGGGTTTGGCAAATCATTTTAAAATTAGAGGCAAATCCTTTTGAAGGGTATTGAGGGTGGTGGTATTGATGGTGGTGGTGGGGGGAAGTGGGAGGGGTCAAATCTTGTAAAATTCTGGCTATTATACTGTCAAAAAAAGGTATGAGAAACTGGGAACTGCCATGGGGACATGTACGAATGTAAAAAAAAAAAAAAACTGCGGGAATAGGATCTTTTCATGGGGCTTTGAGGGCAACATTGATAATATACAAATCCTTTAAATAATATTATTGGGGGATGCCTTAAAGCTGTACATAAAGTTGTGCAACAGTATGATTGCATGTAAAACAGTCCCAGCAACAGGATACACTGGCAATACATATTTGCTTCTGAATTTTTTTTTTTCATTTACAACTAGCTTGGCTTGCATATAGCAGCAGCACCCAAATCTGACTTATTTAACTGATTCTCATCTGCCCATTGCCTATAGATAGCGGATGGGAAGCAGCTCCAATGCTGGCTAATGTACCTGTGCGTCAGCCTTCATCGGAGACTTCTGTGCAGCTCACAGAGCACATACCCAGGAGCCCGGTGATCTGCATGTCACCGGACACAGTGGATCACTTTACTGCTGTGTCTGGGTGATCACATGGTATTTTATCATGTGATTGCTGTGTCCAGTCACATCAATCACATAGTAAACAATCCAAAGTAAAAGTAAAAGATTGGTTCTCACTGCTCTCACTGTGAAAGCAGAGAGGACCAATGCTGCATCCTGTCATATTGCTTGTACACTCACAGACTGCAGTGTCAGCCACCCCAGTGTCCCTGATCACTGCCCTAGTGTAATAGAAATAAAAAATGCAACTAGCCCCTGTCACCTGTCCCAGTGCTCACAAAAACACTGCCATACACCATGCCAATGTCCTGATCACCACCATGCCAGTGTCTTGATCACTGCCATATGCCATACCAGCTTCCTGATCACCACCATACGCCATACCAGTGCCCTGATCACCTCCATACCCCATACCAGTGCCCTGATCCCCGCCATACACCATACCATCATCTTGATTGCCACCATACCCCATAGCAGCATTCTGATCACCGGCATACCCCATACCAGCGTTCTGATCACCGCCATACTCTATATCAGTGTCCTAATCACCATCATGCCAGTGTCCTGATCACCGCCATACCTCATACCAACATCCTGATCCCTGCCATATGATATACCAGTGCTCAGCATTTTAAGGTCTCAACTGGTCAATTTTCAGTGGTGATCAAATACCACCAAAAAAGCTCTATTTGTGTGAAAAAAATGCTACAAATTTCATATGGGTACAGTGCTGCATAACTGCGCAATTGTTATTCACAGTGTGATAGTGCTGAAAGCTGAAAATTAGCCTGGACTGGATGGGGGTGAAAGTGTCTGGACTTGAAGTGGTTAAGCTTAGCAGCAACATACAGTACATGCTTTTTTCATCAACTAATAATAGACTGCTTTCATTGGCAGACAGAAATGGGCCAATAGTTCACTGTGGCTGTCCCTGTTCTTGCTGATGCAAAACTGTTTTGCTGCTTGCCAATTTCTATTAAGCTCCTATTAGGAATGAAGAGACCTCAGATAATACAGCAGTGTAAAACTGGCCAGCAGCAGGATATTTCAAATAAGGGAGAATAGGACAAAATGTACTAGAGAAAAAGAATACAGGCAGGTGTTGTACTAGGAGAATTAAGAAACTGCAGATTACACAGTAGTGTGAAATTGGCCAGCAGCTGGACAATTTTAAATAGGAAGGCTAGGTCCAATTTTACTAAAGGCAAAGAGCACAGGCTGTGCCTCTACTGTACTACAGAAATTAGCATGCTGCCCAGAATACAGCAGTGTTAAATTGGTTGTAATCAGGGATATTACTGCTAACTAATGTACACCCAAATTTTATTTTATCTATGGTGTTAAGGGGGCACCTTGAATGTGAGTGACTATAGTGTAAGATGGGTTGGGAGCACATTGTTCTTGTACTTATTATTATTTTATCCTTCAAATTATAATTACATAGTGTGTGGGCAAGTGAGATGTAGTTTTATAGGCAAATGTTTTACAAAAAGACATGAAATACTGAACCTTACTAGAGCCTGAATGTAAACCTATAGTATAAAATACAAAGTTATCCTTTAACCCTATAATGACCCTATAAATGTACTACAAAAATACAAATAATATATTCACACTTCACCAGTAAATATAAATGCAAATCATAGCTAAAAAACTACATCAATTGAAACCTATAAATACATAAAATAATTTACAAAATATCAGAGAGAAACTAAAACATTACGTTAAAACATAAGTAAACATCTAGTGACTCTTAAGTTAACAAATACATTCCTACCTATTGCTAATAAAACAATTACCCTCTGGTTCTATATTCACTCTATTAAGGCACAGGCAATCTTTCTCAAAAATCCATTTAATCGTCTTTGATAATTCTTTAGATTACTTCTCCTCTAGTGCCCCATAGCCCTGTCAATTCCCAGAACTGTAGTAAGCTGGACTCCCTATCGTGACTTTTTTTTAATGGAGTAAAACACTATGGTTCGTATAAGGGGCGTTTAATGAAATCAGTGAACCTGTGTGCAAGATAACAAGTTGGGCCCCATTGATTGATGAAGAAAAAGAGGTGTGCTTAGTGTGCTGTGGCAAAAAATGTCCATTGTTTTCATTGTGCCAGGGGCATTGCAAGGATTGTAAGACCTTTGGGCATTTAAAGTAGAATAGCAATGCTGCACATGCAGCTTGCCATGGCAAAGAGTGGGGGTGGCAAAGTTGTGCTAACATTGAGAGGGGCTTAAAGGGGTGTGGTTAAATACTACAAATGTCTTAGCAACCAGCACTATCAACACTTTGGTCACTTGGATACACTATGACCCCGAGCAAGTGTATGCCAGTTGTGTTACAGTTGGTTATGGGATGATGCTGAGCTGTCTTAGGAGCCAGGCAGTGACAGATACAGCTGCCCCTTCTCCATGTGTGCAGTGTGGTGTGGGTCTTATCACAGCAGGCCCCTCTTACCTCAGGGTCCATGTATCCCGCACACTCCGCACACATGGAAGATACGCCACTGGTTCTTATACCGTATATTAATATTGTGAATATGTTCAGCTATCCTCTTCTTCAGACACCTTTTAGTGTGGAATACATACTGCAGTCTGCAGAAGCACTCCAATATACAACATGTGTGAAAATAATATTCTTACTATAAGAAGAACATTTTTCTCTTCAAATTTTGCTTAATCTCTTACTTGTATTTACTGTATTTTAGCTGAAGGGTCTGTAAATTTTTTTACCAACTTTACCGACTTTTTTAATAGTATGAGCCTTTATATATATATATATATATATATATATATATATATATATATATATATACATATATATATATATATATATATATATATATATATATATATATATATACAGTTGTGTTCAAAATAATAGCAGTGTGTTGAAAAAAAGTGAGTAAAGCTTAAAATCTTTCTAATAGCTTTTATTTCCATACACACAAATGCATTGGAAACACTACACATTGTATTCCAAATCAAAACATGCAGAAAAATATATCACATTTATGTTGTTCCTCTAAAAAAACTGAAGAAAAGTGATTATTAGACTGTTCAAAAAAAATAGCAGTGTTTGTATTCTTCTTTACAAACTTTCACTATATATAAACTGAAAAATGTTTGAAGATTTTGCTTTCCTTTGAATCACTTAATTAATATTTAGTTGTATAAGCACTGTTTCTGAGAACTGCTGTACATCTGTGTTGCATGGAGTCAACCAACTTCTGGCACCTGTGAACAGGTATTCCAGCCCAGGATGATTAGACTACATTCCACAGTTCTTCTCTATTTCTTGGTTTTTGTCTCAGAAACTGCATTTTTGATGTCACCCCACAAGTTTTCTATTGGATTAAGATCCGGGGATTAGGCTGGCCACTCCATAACATCAATCTTGTTGGTCTGGAACCAAGATGTGGCACGTTTACTGGTGTGTTTGGGGTCGTTGTCTTGTTGGAACACCCATTTCAAGGGCATTTCCTCTTCAGCATAAGGCAGCATGACCTCTTCAAGTATTCTGATGTATTCAAATTGATCCATGATCCTTGGTATGCGATAAATAGGCCCAACACTGTAGTATGAGAAACATCCCCATATCATGATGTTTGTGCAACCATGCTTCACTGTCTTCACAGTGTTTGTCTTCAGTGTTTGGGGGTCGTCTGACAAACTGTCTCCGGCCACTAGACCCAAAAAAGAACAATCTTTCTTTCATCAGTCCACAAAATGTTGCGCCATTTCTCTTTAGGCCAGTCAATGTGCTCTCTGGCAAATTGTAACCTCTTCAGCACATGTCTTTTTTTCAACAGTGGGACTTTGCGGGGGCTTCTTGCAGATAGCTTGGCTTCACATAGGCATCTTCTAATTGTAACAGTACTCACAGGTAACTTTAGACCTTCTTTGATCTTCCTGGAGCTGATTGTTGGCTGAGTCCTTGCCATTTTGGCTATTCTTCTATCCATTCGAATGGTAGTTTTTCGCTTTCTTCCACATCTTTCAGGTTTTGGTTGCCATTTTAAAGCATTTGCGATCATTTTAGCTGAGCAGCCTATCATTTTCTGCACTTCTTTATATGTTTTCCCCTCTCCAATCATCTTTTTAATCAAGGTACGCTGTTCTTCTGAACAATGTCTGGAACGACCCATTTTCCTCAGAATTTCAGAGAGAAATGCACTGTAACCAGCATGTACAACATTTGCTGCCTTCCTTCCTTAAATAAGGGCAATAATTGCCACCTGTTTTTCAAAGAATGAATGACCTCACTAATAGAACTCCACACTGCTATTATTTTGAACATGCCCCTTTCAATTAGTGATTCAATTACACAGAATCAGCAGCATGCATGTCATGACTGTTGGGTCTGTTGGATTTCTATTACTCTACTACACCTGCTAGTAAATTATTTGCCATGTAGAAATATAATTTCCACCAAAAACAGTGATTGATCAGGTTAGTGATGTCTGCCTGCTATTATTTTGAACACAACTGTATATACTGTATACATCTAGTTTTTTGGAAGGCTTTTACTAAGTACACGATCTTTCTTTCAAAATGCTTTAAAAGAAAAAATCTACCTCCCTATATTGTGTATTAAAACCCATGATGAAGGCAGTTTCAGTCCCTTTGTTACCTTCCCACTTTTTTTTTTATTGCCATCTATTTTAATCCCATCTAGAGTTACTCGCATCATCATATTAATTTTTATCAATTTCTCTTTCAATATTATATTTTTTGAATCCCTTCACAACAAACTTACTTTTTTGAAAAACAGCCTGATTTAAAAGTCTTGTTCCTTTGTAAAACTGTACTTTGTCCTCATTATTTGGGAGTATTTTTACTTTTGCAGTCAAATTTGAGAAAACACCACTGTATGTTTGTTATTTGTACCCATCACACAGCATACCTAAAAATTATAATTTAAAAATAGTGCAGCGCTTTCTCCAAAAAATACAAATAATAAACAAATATGTGTACATATTTGTTTATTATTTGTATTTTTTGGAGAAAGCGCTGCACTATTTTTAAATTATTTCTATACACTGTTCAGGTATCAGTTTAGATTGTTGGCAGCTTTGCGTGAGGGTACACTTCCTTTCTAAGCGCAGGAGGATTTTGTTGTATATACCTAAAAATTATGTTTTAAAAAATATTTCTTATCTTTTAGATGTTTTTCAGCAATAGGCCTTTGGACAAACTGCAAGCTACTCTGAACAATTTCAAAGTGAATCTGTCCACAGACAAAGTGAAGACAGACAGAATTTTGCTTCAATAACAAAGAATGCAAAAGCCAGTCTTTATTGGGACAGACATTGTTCACGTATAGTTTACAACTGATAATGATTCAGCCAGTACAGTATAGACGAGGCCACTATGGTAAGCATTAACTCCCCAGCCCCCTCCTTAGCAGAGGAAAAGGTCAGTTTTCATAAAACAGCAAGGAAAATATTAGCAGCATTTTTAATTATATTTTTTTTTTACATTATGCTATGTGAATGGGAACATGTAACAGATATAAAGTATTTGTTATCACAATTTGGCTCCAAAAGTGGAAATACACTTTAAGCCAAACTGGATGATGACAAC